TGAGTTTCCAAGGCTCATGGAAGGTCCGTGAGGTCTCCGACTTTATTCTTGTTTCTGCCAAGGTCCTACTCAAAGTGGAGGTTCTCTCCCCCCTTCAGAGAAGAAGAACTGCCTTCTTGAAGACCTGTTCTTTCCACTGGGCTCTCACTCCAAGAGGTCTTTCATTTAGGTGGAAAGATATGTCTCTTTCAGGCGATTCACTTCACCCGCCAGAGTGGGAGTGTCTTGGCTTTCCATGCCTGAAATACTCTCATGGGCTTTTCAGCCAGATCGGAATGCCTTTAGGGCTGATTCACCTTATATTCTAATGGCCTAGAGGTCTTAGTTCCAAAGGGAGGAATATTTGTACTAGAAGAATCAAACAAAGATTACATTAAACTGGATGTCAAGACCTGTCCAGACACTTTGGACTTCTCATGCCTCTGAATCAGAAGGTAAAGAAAGGAGTTACTGTGTTGGCTGGGGAGATTGAATCTGAATATTCCAGAATACTCTTCCTTACCTCCATTGTGGAGTAGTAGTTTCCCAATGGATATTCAGGATCAATCTACCCAGCCAACACAGTAACTCCCTTTTTTATCTATTGATTCAGAGGTATGAAAAGTCCAAATTGGGCAAGTCTTGACATCCATTTTAATGTAATCTTTGTTTGATTCTTCTGGTACAAACATTCTAGAATGGGGAATGAAAGAAGGTATTTATGAATACCAGCTACCACCATGTGACCAGTTACAGAAACACAGGAATTCTCATGAGTATTTTCTCCTTACATTGTTATGAATATGTGTATGTATCTATACATATACCTGTTTTCTTCCTTCTCTTATTGCCCTATAAATGTACATAAGATACATTGACTTTATATCATATTCTTTAAGTATCATTAAATTATGTCATAGTATTTTGTTGCAAGATGTCAAGACATAGAGTAAATAAAAATTCAACAACTTCACTTCTTCTTTTAGGAAACAGGTTAATGTGTTTTTGGTTAAACACAATTTTTTAAATGTCCTATTATAATTGAATTATGACCTTGTTTTTGTCTTCATTTGGATATTGAGAATCATGTAAGGAGATGCATATGAATGCCAAATTGATGGTTAACTCTATACGTCAACTTTACTGAGCCACAAGCAATTCATATATTTAATCAAACATTATTCTGGGTGTTTCTATGAGGGTGTTTTTGGATCAGATTGACATCAAAATTGGAAGACTGAGTAAAGCAAATTGCCTTCCCTCATGTGGGCATCATGCAATTTGTTGAAGAGATGAATAGGACAGAAGGGTTTACACTCCTGCAAGTAAGAGAACCCTTGCTCTCTGACTACCTTCATACAGGGACATCAGTTCTTTCCTGCCCTCGGACTTGAACTAAAATACTTTAGTTCTTCTTGGGTCTCAAGCTTGCAGATCTTCTGACCAGAGCTATACCATTGGCTCTCCTATGTCTTCAGCTTGTTGATTAACCCTGTAGATCTTGGAACTTGACAGTCTCTATAATAGCATGGGCCAATGCACTCACTCTCTCTCACATACATCCCATATTCATATATTTTATATATATATATATATATAATCTACTTGAAATATATATTTCCTATGTATCGCCTATGAGTTCTATTTCTCTAGATATCCCTAACATGCCCATATAATAATAATATAATATTCATCCTTTTATGTTTGGCTTATTATACTTAGCAAATTTTCAAGGATCACCTATGCTGTAGCATAAATCAGAGACATTTTCTTTTAAATATGGGAATTTATTCTACAGTAACTATTGTCTAGACTCTAGTCCACGAAACTGCCAAAAGCATAAGTCTTTAACCAAGTCTTGAGGGATCAAGTAATTCTTCTTGGAGATGTTTGTCCAAGATTTGAAGAATTAGTCAGGCAAAAGGGCAATGAGGGGTAGTTAGAAAAATGTTATAGGTAGAAGAAATAATATATATATATATATATATATATATATGCCTTATGTGGTATAGATTTGCTACATCTAGAGATCTGAGAGTTTCTTGCTATAGATGGACATTATAGAGCAAAGGAGCAAGTGGCAAGATACTGTACTAGAGAGATTGAAAATTAAGATAAAACACACTACAGAGCTGAACTATTCCTTCCTCCATCATCATGGGATAGTAAGACTTTATGTCATATCTTCTGATCAATATACTGGCAAACTCGGCGCTGCGGCTCACTAGGCTAATCCTCTGCCTGTGGCACTGGCACTCTGGGTTCTAGTCCCGGTTGGGGCACCAATTCTGTTCAGGTTGCTCCTCTTCCAGTCCAGCTCTCTGCTGTGGCCCGGAAGGCAGTGGAGGATGGCCCAGGTGCTTGGGCCCTGCACCTACATGGGAGAGCAGGAGGAGGCACCTGGCGGCCATTTGGGGGTTGAACCAACGGAAGGAAGACCTTTCTCTCTCTCTCTCTCACTGTCTAACTCTGCCTGTCAAAAAAAAATATATACTGGCAAACTGAGATCAAGACTGTCTGGACAAATAGAGTTAAAGTTTAACAGGTTTGGGAATACGGGTTGTTGATGAGAATATGGACATTATTATGCATTTTTGCAGAAAACCTTCATTCTTCTTCACTCTCATGATTTTTGCCCACATCATGAATGATCTTAGCATCCATGAGGAGAATCAACTCTTGGCTCTATTCTTCCCTATTTTTGGGCTTTTAACTACTTGCTTAAAGTCACTGTGTTCTCTCAAAATGCCCTTCACATGTCCTGTTACCACAGGTACTCAGTAAGTTTTATGTTGGAAGTTTGGTCATATATCAACCTTGTTGTGTATCTAAACGTCAAGCTCTAGGAGCAGTGTTTTTTGTATGTCTTATGAGACCAGCATACCTTTAACTTGCCTTTCTGAAGAACAAGAGTCCAATGATGGCCATCTTGACTGCTGGAGATGAGGAACTCCGTTACATACATGCTGGTAAGGAGAGACTTAACTCCCTGGGTGGTGATTCCTGTGACTTTCATTGTCTTCCGCAAGTCCACTTGCAGCCACTCTTTTGGATTATTCACCTGAGGAAGATAGCATTGGACTATCCTGTTGGTCACCAATTGCTCCCAGAAATCCACAAATCCATTCTTAACCATATCATAACATTTATCATTCTGTATTTTAATGATTTGTCAGTCTCCCTTATTAGACTCTAAGAAACTTCAGGAACAAAACTGTTCAGAACTGATTTCTGTATTCTCAGAGTCAGCTAATTAATAATCTATTAATAACCCATTTCATTTAAAATAAACCCCTGGAGGAGAACAGAAATTTATTTAATTTCTTCAAAAAGTCATTCAATGATCGAAAAATCACAAACTGTGTGGCTCTGGAAAAGATCATGCCCAGTGAATTTTATATGACTACAACCATTTTTCTTTGAGGTACTGAGAAACCTGGAAATAAAGTTAATAGTTTATATTTATCCATAAAATTTGACTTTATATATCATAATTATTTGACAGAGGTTAGCCAATTACTGGATGTAAAGATTCTTCTTTCGCCTGTGGGGTTGTGAGTCCTTGACATACTTTTAAAAGAACAGGTGACAAAAATACTTCTGATGGAACGTCAAGGGCTTCCTTTATTTTTTTTTACAACCACTACTCCCTGCTCTATGTCAGTTAAGTGGTAAATCTGTTATATCTTACCTGAGGTCTCCAGGCATTAGTCTTTCCCTGGAGGTGAAGTCTGGCTTTTGAAGGAGACCAGGTTGTAAACATATTGGTGAAGTAAGATGAAGCAGTAATTTGTGAATCTGATATTGCTTTACTTTCCATTCCCAATGGCATGCTGCAACCTCAAATAAATGAAAGGAGAATGTTATTACAAGGGCATAATGCAGTTTAAGTTCCACTGGCCTCACCCATCAACACTCTAAGTCTACTGTCATCATGATATCATTTCTCAAGCAGTAATTTTTGCACAGATTTTGTTATTGTTAACATGATCCTCATTTTATTCTCAGCTCTGATTTTTATTTTCCTTGTTAATAGTAGTGTAGGGAGATGGCTGTCTCTGGGGAATCCCATAGTTATGGAAACAAATTCCTCAGTATTTCCAGGATTACGTTGCTTTTAGTACTGATATCTCTGTTTCCCAAGACTGGAAACCCCCACCAAGCTTCAGGTTAGCTATAACAGTTAGTCACCCTACCCTTGGTAGGGAGAAGTAAGGATATAGGAGGATGTGGCACTTACTATTTAAATCACAGCCTATCAACTCCATGCGAAGCGTGCTACGGATGCTATAATGAGTTGGGTGCAAACGAATATACTGAGCAATAATTGGAGGGTTAAAAATGTTGTGTTTTATCCCAGATGAATCCACATTGCCAAAGAAGACCTGTTGGAAGATTACCACAAATACATGGGAAGTGAATACAGAATGAAAAGCAATTCCTCCCAAACACATCTTCCTTATAATTTGGCTTTGTGTATTCCTCAACAGCATGTCATATACAAATAAATCTATGCTGAACTCTGGCCTCAGAAACAGCCGTTAAGGCATTTGGATCTGGCTGAAGAGCCCATGAGAGTATTTTAGGCATGGAGAGCCAAGACACTCTGGCCAAAAAACAACAAACAAACAAACAAACAAGAACACCTAAATGAAAGATCTCTGTGAGTGAGATCCCAGTGTAAAGAACAGGCCATCAAAGATGGAGGTACCTTTCTCTGAAGGGAGGAGAGAACTTCCACTTTGACTATGACTTTGTCTAAATAAGATCGGAGTTGGCAAACTCAAAAGGCTTCCATTCCATAGCCTTGGCAACCCATGACAAGAGCCTAGGGTGATTACTGATGCCATAAACAAGAGTGTCAATTGTTAAGTCAACAACAGGAGTCACTGTGCACTTACTCCCCATGTAGGATCTCTGTCCTTAATGTGTTCTACAATGTAAATTAATACTATAACCAGTACTTAAACAGTACTTTTATACTTTGTGTTTCTGTGTGGGTGAAAACTGTTGAAATCTTTCCTTAATATATACTAAATTGATCTTCTGTATATAAAGATAATTGAAAATGAATCTTGATGTGAATGGGATGGGAGAGGGAGTGGGAGATGGGAGGGTTGTGGGTGGGAGGGAAGTTATGGCGGGGGGAGCCATTGTAATCCAAAAGCTGTACTTTGGAAATTTATATTTATTAAATAAAAGTTAAAAAAAACCCATGCCGAGTAAACACAAGTCAATGTTTTTCATATGAAGAAAAAAAGTACCAGGCAGAAGAATGGAACAAGGGAGATTAGGCGTTGGACAACTCTACCTTGAGTTCCTTTAAAAGATTCATCAAAACTGACAGAACTATTTGGAATTTTGCTCCTCTGTCATGGTCCACAGGCCAGTAACAACAGTATTATTTTTTTATTAAAGATTTATTTGTTTATTTGAAAGAGTTAGAGAGAGAGAGAGAGAGAGAGAGAGAGAGAGCGGTCTTCCATCCAATGGTTTACTCCCTAATTTGCCGCAATGGCCGGAACTGTGCTGATCTAGAGGCAAGAGCTTCTTCCAGGTCTCCCACGCAGGTGAGGCGACCCAAGGACTTGGGCCATCTTCTACTTCTTTCCCAGGCCATAGCAGAGAGCTGGATTGTAAGTGGAGCCAGCCGGGTCTAGAACCGGCGCCCATATGGGATGCCGGTGCTTCAGGCCAGGGCATTAACCCATTGTGCCACAGTGCCAGCCCCAACAACAGTTTTATTATATGGGAATAATTATAAATGCAGAGTGATATTAGCAAGTTGGTAAAATAGGAGGGTCTCAGCTCCCAGTCCTCTGTAGAAACAACAATTTAGCAACCATCTATGGAAAAAAGTGCCTTTGTGGGAGCCTTGGGATCCAAGTTTAAGGCTGAGAAAGCCCAGTAGAACCTAAGACCAAGAATGACTGGTTTGAAAAGGCAGGCCCACATCTTGGTGATATGGCTTCCAACCATGGACCTGGCTACAGACCCAAAATCAGCCTATACCTTTGTGGACTCAGTGTTAGCCACATTTATGTATGGTCCTGCCACCAGCCTTATCTGTGCAGGGACCTGGGAGAAACAACTCCAACTGATACCCCTCCATGATAGGCCCACTGACTGTATACCCTGGAATATCTCTTCACCATGGTCTGTGGGGAGTTCTACCTATCCAGGGAACTGGGGGAGCCGTGCCAGTCTATGTACTCCAAAACAGGCACACTAACTGGAGCCAATTGTAGACTCAGAAGTATCCCTATGATCTAGCTTCAGTACTGCTCTACCATGGTCTTGGGAAATCCTGCCTGTAAAGGGATCCAGGGGGATTCCATGCCCATATGCATTCAGGTTCAACAATCACAAGCCTAACTAGGGATGTTGAAGCAGTTCCAGGCCCTCCACTATGGTCTGCAGGTATTTCTGCCCACCCTGAGACACAGTGAGAGCTTCACTCATTCATACCTCTGGTAATGGGATTACTGTCTAAAGTCCTGAATGTGGGCCCAGAAGAAGTGTCTATTTCTTTAAATGTCCAGAGACCAATGAAAGGCTGCATGGATTACAATCAGGAAAACATGACCCCCTCAAAGGAAACTAACAAAGGCCTAATAGTCAATCCAAAAGACATGAAGATCCATGAACTTCTTGACAAATAATTAAAAAATAATTACTTGGGAGATCCAAGATGGCTGAATAGGGTGTAGCCACACTAACTTAAGCAGCTCTGGGACATGAAAAGAACAAAAGAAGGACTACATTTCCAGAGGTAGGACAGAAATTTTCAGCAAAGTGAAAAAAGAAAAAGAAAAAAAAAAAGACTCCATGGGACAAGAGAAAACAGAGATATCACTATAGCCAGCCATGTGGTGCTGCCAGCTGCTGGCTCTGAGCTGCCATCTTACCACATCAAGGTAGGAAGAAATATCTACATGCCCCAGTGCTCACAGTTTTAGCTAAGAGGGAATTCTACAGTCACCCACTGACTTTTACTTCAGCCTGGAGAGCTGACTGAGGTCTAAGCAACTGCCAGGTTTGGATCAAGGAAGCCACATTGCTTTCATCCACTCCCCCACCCATACAGACTGCCATATTCATCAGTGAAAAGTTGCACAGTGTGCCTGTATTCTGCTCCTACCAGCATCTAGTCAGAGTCAGGGCAATGTGTGGAGTAAAGGACAGAATTCCCTGAATCTTGCAACTGTGGAAGTTGTGGAGCATTAGCCCCAGAGCTATGCTTACACACTCTACATGAGCCAGGTGGATTCACCTTAGCTTCTGGGGACTAACACCAGAACCAGCCCATAAAAATCTGCTCCCACCCTGGGAGATCTGTATAATGACCCCCACTACACCCTGCAACAACAGGACAATTCATGCTAAATTTCTTGGTGCCACTGGATCTACCCAATGGACACAGGGGAGAACCTACCTGCATTCCACCCCTCTGGACTCATACCCTCCAGAGTAAAATCCCCTGTATACCTTGTAGTCACACTGTAGGACTGGAATAGGGTTCAGTTCATATACCCTAGTCCTAGGACTAGGGATGTTGGAATTATAAGCCATAGCCTCAGTTGAACTCTGCTAGTAGGACCTGAGGAAGGCTCCATCTACACCACACAGACATAGAGCCACAGCAATTGGTGTCATTGGTGGTACAAGTGCCAGTATCACTCAGGCTTGCCAGTAGGACAAGGGAGTAGCCACCCTTGTCTCCCTCAGCACCAAGAACAAGGCCTTGGCTATCACATTTGCCAAGGAGACTGACAATGAATTTTCTTTGGACCAAAGACTCATACCCAAGGAAACCCTTATTCATCTCAAAGCCACACTTCTATTCTTATGAACTGCAGCAGTCTAGACCACTGTGTCACTTACAGACACAGCTGACATTGATTAAGACAAAAGAAATCACTCAGAAACTATACTCCTGGGCTCATCTAGAACCAAAGCCAAAACAATAAACTAAGTGATACACTGAATATTAGCTAAACCATAAACTATTTTCCAATAAAACCTACTCCATAAAGAAGGGACAAGTATACCAGATGGGCAGATGTCAATGTAGGGACACAGGAGACATGAAGCAAGGTAGCGTGATACCTCAAGAACAAAATAACCCTCCAGAATTAGATCCTGAACTGAAGGAAATCTACGAAATAACAGATATAGAATTCAAAATAATGATTGTAAGGAAACGCAATGAGATGCAAGAGAATACAGATGGACAGATTAAAGAAATGAGAAAATCAATGATTGACATGAATGAAAATATTACTAAGGAGATAGAACTCATTATGAAGAACCAAATAGAAATTTTGGAGAGGAAATCTTCCATCAGTGAAATAAAGAATACAACAGAACTTTAACAGCAGAATAGACTACATGGAGAAAAGAATTTCTAACCTCAAGGGCAAGAATTTTGAAATACCCCAATCAGACAAAAGTAAAGAGAAAAGAATTAAAAAGAAAAAAGCCTTTGTGAAATATAGGATGTCATTAAATGACCAAATATTTGTATTCTGGGTATTCCTGAAAGAGAAGAAAAGCAAAAAGGTATTGAGAACTTGCTAAATGAAATAATAGTTGAAAATTTCCCAGGTCTTAAAAGAGACATGGGAATCCAGATACAAGAAGTTCAAAGAACCCCAAGCATATTGAGCCAAAAGTCTTCTCTAAGGCGTACTGTCATCAAATTGTCAAAAGTTAAAGAAAAGGAGAGAATCCTATGGACAGTAAGAGAAAAGCTTCAAGTTATATACAAAGGAATACCAATTAGGTTAACATCAAATTTCTCAGCAGAAACCCTACAGGACAGAAGACTGGGATGATATACCCAAGGCCTTAAAAAGAAAAGACTTCCAACCAAGAATATTGTATCCAGTGAAGCTGTCCTTTAAAAGTGAAAGAGAAATGAAGTATTTTCCAGATAAACAAAAACTGAGAGAATTTACCACCAGCAGACCAGCCTTACAAGAAATTCTGAAGTCTGTTCTGGATTAGAAGGAAACATGAAACACGTGTCACTGCCAAATTCACCAATAGAGCAGATAGAATCAGTATCCAGTTAGAAAAATGCCAGGTCTTGGTTCTTATCTATCAATACTAATCTTGAATGTAAATGGATTAAATTCAGCAACCAAAAGACTTAGGTTGGGTAAATGGATAAAAAAAGGACATCACTATATGCTGCCTACAAGAAACTCACTTCACAATGATACACACAGACTAAAAGTGAAGGGCTGGAAAAAGATATACCAGGCAATCGAAAACCAAAAGCAAGCAGGTGTAGCTATCATGAAAACAGATAAAGCAGGCTTTAAATAAAAAACTGTAAAGAGAGATTAAAGATATTATATTTTCATAAAGGGTTAAATTCAGCAAGAGAACATAACAATCATAAATATATATGCACCCAACACAAGACCACCCAGATATATACAGCAAATACTATTAGACATAAAGGGAGAGATAGACTCCAATACAATAACAGTGGCTGACTTCAACACCCCACTCTCATCAATGGAGAGGGCATCCAGACAGAAAATCAAGCAAGATAAACGGGAGTTGAAATATACTACCAAGCAAATGGACCTAAAAGACATTTATAGGACATTTCAGTCAACAGCTACTTACACACACTCTTCTTATTAGCATATGGAACATTTTCTAAAATAGACCACATATTAGGACACAAATCAAGTCTTATCAAATTTAAAAAGCTTGAAATCATACCATGTATCTTCTGAGACCATAAAGGAATAAAACTAGATATCAACAACAAGAACAACAGAACACTCATAAATGCTTGGAAATTAAACAACATGCTACTGAATGATCAATGGGTCATTTAAGAAATTAAAAAAAGAAATTTAAAACTTTCTTGAAAATACAGCAAAAGGAGTATAAAGTGGGATGTTTATAGCATTAAGTGCTTACATTAAAAAAAGAAAAATGTCTCAAATTAAAGATCTAATGATCCATCTTGAAGACTTAGAAAAACAAGAACAACCCAAATCCCCAATCAGCAAGAGGAAAGAAATAATGAGGATCAGAGCAGAAATAAATGAAATTGAAACTAAAAAAATTACAAAAGATCAACAAAATGAAAAGTTGGTTTTTTGAGAAGATAAAAAATAAATAAACCTCTATAAAGAAAAAAAGAAAAAAATCTCAAATAAACAAAATTAGAGATGAAAAAGGAAACATTACAACCAACAGCACTGAAACACAAGGAATCATAAGGAACTACTATGAAGAACTATATGCCAATAAACTGGAAAACCTTGAAGACATGGATGAATTCCAGGATTCATATAACCTACTAAGATTAAATCAAGAAGATATAGACAACCTAAACAGACCCATAACAAGCAATGAAATTGAAGCTGTAATTAAAAGTCAAGGGAAAGTTGGGACCTGATGGCTTTTTTACCGAATTTTATTAAATATTCAAAGAGGAAGCAACTCCAATACTCTTCAAACTATTCCAAAATATTGAACATGATAGAACTCTGCTAAGCTTTTTTATGAGGTCATCATTACTTTGATACCAAAACCAAACAATGACATGAAATGAAAAGAAAATGACAGATCTATATCCTTAATGAACATAGATTCAAAGATTCTCAATAAAATACTAGCAAATCAAATCCAGAACCACATCAAAAGACCATATATCATGATCAAGTGGGATTTATCTCAGAACTGCAAGAGTGGTTCAACATTCACAAATCAATGAACATCATAAGTTGCATCAACAGAATGAAGAACAAAAACTATATGGTCATCTCAACAGATTCAGAGAAAGCTTTTGATAAGATTCAACACCACTTCATGATAAAAAAAAAAAACTCCACAAATCAGGTATAGAAGGAATATTCCAGGGTCAGCTTTGTGGCATAGTGAATAAAGCTACCTCCTGCAGTGCCGACATCCCATATGGGCACAAGTTTGAATATCGACCACTCTGCTTCTGATATAGCTCCCTGTTAATGCATCTGGGAAAGCAGCAGAAGATGGCCCAAGTGCTTGAGCTCCTGCACCCACGTGGGAGACCTGGAAGAAAATCCTGGCTACTGGTTTCCGATTGGCCTGACTCCTGCTATTGCGGCCATCTGGAAGAGTGAACCAGCTGATGGAAGATCTCTCTCTGTCTCTTCCTCTCTCTCTCTCTCTTTAACTCTGCCTTTCAAATAAACAAATAAATCCTTTTTTTAAAAAAAGAAGGAACATTCCTCAACATTATTAAGGCTATATCTCACAAACCAACTGCTAATATCATGCTTAGTGGGGAAAATTTGAAAGCATCTCCCCTCAGATCTGGAATAAGACAAGGATATCCATTTTCACTACTCTTATTCAATATAGTACTGGAAGTTTTAGCAAGAGCAATTAGGGAGGAGAAAGAAATAAAGGGCATAAAAATTGGAAAAGAGGAAGTTAAATTATCAATGTTTACAGACGACATGATGTAGTACATAGAAAAACCTAGTCACTCCACCAAAAAAGCTGTTAGAATTGATAAACCAGTTCAGCAAAGTTACAGGTTACAAAACAAACATACAAAAAAGAGTAGCTTTTGTATTGCTAATGATGAACTCACAGAAAAGAGAAATCAAGAAAGAAATCCCATTTACAATAGCCACAAAAATCAAATATATAGGAATAAACTTAGCCAGAGAAGTGAAAGATCTCTACAAAAAAATTATCAAACATTGATGAAAGGAATCATCAAGGACACACAAAATATGGAAATATATTCCTTGCTCATGGATTGGAAGAATTAATATCATCAAAATATCTATACTATGTAAAGCAATCTACAGATTCAATGCAATCCCTTTTTTTTTTTTTTACTGTGGAAAAGATTTATTAGTCTGTACAAGTTGGTTTTTGATAAACTACTGATTGCTTGTTACAATAAATTACCAAGGTTTTCTTGCAACAGTGTTTTCCCACACACATCAGAATCTGGAAGTAAAACGCCTTTCTCAAATTGTCATTTAGTGTTTTTGTCCCTACCCCTCTAAACAGAGAAACAGGTTTTGAATATCAACTCCATTTATAGATGCCAGAAGACATGGATATTCACCAACATTACACGAGCTACAACAGAGGAACCTGGACAAACACTGTCAACATTTATGATGGAAAAAAAAAGCTGGTTCTAAAAGTGGCAATTATGACAGGAGTTACAATAAACACACTATATGTGCCCTTCTGAAACCAAGATGAGGGAAACCTTACTGCGGTTCTGCAAAGTACCACGCTAACTCTAGATGCTGGGCACAGGACCGTGAGTCCAACAGACACACCACAAGATTAAAACCCCAGGTAAGCAACTGCGCTAATCACTGAAGGAAATCACAAAGTAATGCCAAACTTCTTTAGTGTATCAAGACTATTTTAGAAGCATCATCAAGACAAATAGATTTAAGACTAAATTGGCCTGGGCTACATTCTGTAGTGTGGGTTTTGCTTAGTGCTCGCAGAGACTCTCAAACACCCTAGAAAAGCTGTGAAATCATGCTCGCTGTCGTTCCTGAAAGGAACTTTGGCAGGTCTGATGATGCCTGTGAACCTCCCTGGGGTTCTGGGGTTCTACATACCAAATGATCCAGTAATTTAAAGAAATATTTAAGCACAAAGAAGGAAACCAAAAGTGGACCTTGTATCAACACATACTAGAGATGGACTTTTAAAAATTACATGATAAATGTAAGTCATAAAATCAAATGCACTGATAAAGGTACACCTGTTTTATGTTACATAAAAAACTGAAGACTGCAAACTGTGCATGCTTACCATAGCATTCTACCTGGGAAAGCCGATGAGTGGGATGTCTTGCAATTATTTACTGCCATGATACAAAACAATTATGTGCAAACTGCAAGGTCCCCCAAATAGCAGTTAAAGAATATTTATGCAGAACGATGCCACTGTGGGGAGCAACTGGGAGCAACTCGGACTAGACTAAGTTACTGGAATTAAGACTTATTCTATGCATCTGCTTTCCCACAATATGGCGCTGAGAAGGGAAACAGCTTCTACTCAGCTGCCTCCAGTTCAACCAATAAACTGTGGGACCTGCTCCTGATTGGAGAGCAGCGTACTCGGCGTGTGGGTAGCAGAGTTGGGATTGGTGGAAGGACTATAAAGGAGGAGAGAGACGGCATGCACCAGGAACATCTAAGGGGAACATCTGAAGGAACACCTGTGCAGCCCCCGAGAGAGCCGGCCGGCGGTGTGCCGCTCCCCCGCGGAAGTGGGGAATGTGGCAGGGGGAACCGCCCCTCCACGGAGGTGGAGGGACAGTAGCCAACCCAGGAAGAACCAGCAGCAAACCCGGGGAGGGCCGAGCAGACGAAAGAACAGCGCAGGGTCCTGTGTCGTTCCTCCACGAAGAGGGGGAGCGACATGCCACTATCTGGTGAACTAGGCAAGAGATGGAACTTCCCAGAGTTGACAGCACAGAGCAGTAACCACTGCAGGCGTCTGCCCCGTGGCCTTCTTCCCTGTGTGACAGTTTCACTCCTTTGTTCTGGGTCTCGCTCTCCCACAGTCCGGGTGTCTGAATGATCTTTTTGACAAGCTCCTCAAAGGCACACTGGACACCATCACACGTTTTTGCACTTGCCTCTATAAATAACATAGAATGCTTCCGTGCAAACTTCAGGCCTTCATTTCTGTTGACTTCACGATTTTCCTTATCAATTTTATTTCCAACTAGCATGTTTACTATGTCATTTCTCGTACAGTATGTTTCCAATTCATTTAACCAATTATCCAGTTTAACAAAGGTGTCCCTTCTCGTGACATCATAAACTAAAATAACACCCTGTGCACCTCTGTAATAACTTGGAGTTAGAGTTCTAAACCTCTCTTGACCAGCAGTATCCCATATTGCAAGTTTAGCCTTATTTCCATCCACTGAAATTGTTTTCACCTTAAAGTCGACACCTATAGTTGCTGCGAGCTCTGGATCAAAAGTATCATCTGTGAACCTCAACAGCAGGCTGGACTTGCCGACTCCGCTCTCGCCGATGATGAGGATCTTCAGGGTGGTCAGCACGTCCTCGTGCATCCTGATCCTGCTCTGAGCCCTGCTTGGCCGCCCCGGTCCGCCTCTCACTTCACCAGGGAATCCCCCTTTTTTTTTTTTTTAAGATTTCATTTAGTTATTTGAGAGACAGACTTACAGACAGTGAGAAGGAGAGACAGAGAGAAAGGCCTTATGTTCACTGGTTCACTCCCCAAATGGCCGCAATGGCCGGAGCCGCACCGATCCAAAGCCAGGAGCTTCTTACGGATCACCCACGTGGGTGCAGGGGCCCAAGGACTTGGGCCATCTTCTACTGCTTTCCCAGGCCATAGCGAAGAGCTGGATGGGAAGAGCAGCAGCCGGGACTAGAACTGGCACCCATATGGGATGCCAGAACTGCAGGCGGAGGATTAACCTACTGCACCACAGCACTGGCCCATAATGCAATCCGTTTCAAAATAGCAATGACATTCCTTACAGAATAAGAAAAAGCAATCCTAAAATTCATAGGAATCACAAAAGAACCATAATAGCCAAAATGAACCTGAACAAGAAAAATCAAGCTGAAGGCATCATAATATCTGACTTCAAAGCATACTACAAACCTGTAGTAATTAAACATCGTGGTACTGGCATAAAAACCTATACATAGGTCATTGGAACAGAATAGAGAGCCCAGAAATTAATCCACTAACATACAGCCAACTGATTCTTGACAAAAGTGCTCAGAACACACAGTGGAGTAATGCTAATCTTGTCAACAAATGGTGTTGGCAAAACTGAACATATATATGTAGAAGAATGAAATTAGATACATACCTTTCACTATATACAGAAATCAACTCAAGACCAATCAAAGACCTAAATTTAACACCTGAGACTATGAAGTTGCTGAAGGAAAATGTAGGGGAAACACTCCAAGACATTAGCATAGAGGATGACTTCTTGGACAAGACCTGCAGAGCACAGGTAACAAAAGCAAAACTAGGGGTAGGTGCTGTGGCACAGTGAGTTAATGTCCTAGTCTGAAGTGCTGGCATCCCTTATGGGTGCCAATTCGAGACCTGGCTGCTCTACTTCCAATCCAGCTCTCTGCTGTATCCTGGGAAAGCAGTAGAAGATGGCCCAAGTCCTTGGGCCCCTGCACCCATGTGGGAGACCCGGAAGAAGATCCTGTCTCCTGGCTTCGTATTGGCACAGCTCCAGCTGTTGCAGCCATTTGGGGAGTGAACCATCAGATGGAAGACTCTCTCTCTCTGACTCTCCTCTCTCTATGTAACTCTGAATTTCAAATAAATACATAAATCTTTAAAATGAACAAAAGCAAAACTAAACAAATGTGACTATATCAAACCCAGAAGCTTTTGAACAGCAAAGGAAAAATAGAGCGAAGAGACATCCAACAGAATGGGAAAAAATATTTGCAAACCACCTATCTGACAAAGAATTACTATGCCAAATATATCAGCAACTTAAGAAAACAAACAACAACAACCAATTCAGTTGAGACATGACCAAAAAACTTCAATAGTGAGTTCTGAAAATAAGAAATACAAATGGCCAATATATGGGAAAAGGCTCAACATCACTAGCCATCAGGGAAATGGAAATCCAAACGACAATGAGATACCACCTCACTCTGTCAGAGTGGCTAAAATTCAAAACACAGAGAGTAACAAACGCAGATGAAGATATGGAGAAAGGGAAACACTTATACATTGTTGGTGGGAATGTAAATTAGTGAAGCCACTGTAGAAAATAGTGTGGAGATTTCTTAAAAAAACTAGAAATAAACTTGCCATATGCTACCCAAAAGACTTGAATACAATATATCAAAGAGATACCTGCACCATTATGTTTATAGCAGTACTGTTCACAATAGCTAAAATTTGGAACCAACCAAGGTGTCCATCATCAGATGAATGGATAAAGAAAATGTGGTATATGTACACAATGAAATATTATTCACCTATAAAAAAGAATGGAATTCTACCATTTGCAGCAAAATGGATGCAACTGGAAACATCATGTAGAGTGAAAAAAGTTGGATCCAGAAAGACAAATACTGCATGTTCTCCCTTGTTAGGTGGGAACTAAAATTTAAGAAACAAACAAACAAACAAAAAAGTTTGTGTTTATCAGTATTGCTACAAATATAGTTTTTGTAAAATTTTGTTTTATACTTTTGTCAAACCAATGGTTAAGAGTGTTATACTACTATAGTTTTAATGATCTGTGATTACGTTAAAATTTAATGTATATGGGTAAAATGATCTTTTTTTCATTCAATTATTGCTTATAAAGATTTTAGATATTCACTAAACTAGGTTAATTTTCCTTTTTACTTGTTATTTTCCAGTGACGTATTAAGCCTTTTTTACTGTAATGTAAATTCAAAATGTTATCTCTAAAACTAAAAAAGAGACAGAAAGAAAGGGAGAAGGAAGGAGGGTGGGAGTAGAGGGGAAGGAAAGAAGGAAGAGAGGAAGAGAATATCATTATGTTCTTAGAATTGTTTCTATAAATCACATTGAATCTGTTAAAAACTAATTTGTGGGGAGCAACTCGGACTGGACTGAGTTACTGGAATTAAGACTTATTCTATGCATCTGCTCTCCCACAACATGGCGCTGGGAGAGAAGAAAACAGCTTTTACACAGCTGCCTCCAGTTCAGCCAATAAACTGTAGGACTTGCTCCTGATTGGAGAGCAGTGTGCTCTGCGTGTGGGCAGCCGAGTTGGGATTGGCAGAGGAGGACTATAAAGGAGGAGAGAGACGGCATGCACCAGGAACATCTAAGGGGAACATCTAAGGGGAACATCTGTGCAGCCCCCGAGAGAGCCGGCCGGCGGTGTGCTGCTCCCCTGCGGAAGTGGGGAATGTGGCCAGGGGGAACCGCCCTTCCACGGAGGTGGAAGGGACAGTAGCCAACCCGGGAAGAACCAGCAGCAAACCCGGGGAGGGCCGAGCAGACGAAAGAACAGCGCAGGGTCCTGTGTCGTTCCTCCACGAAGAGGGGGAGCGACACTAATTAAAATTAAAATAATTTTTAAAATTAAAAATAATTTCTTAAAGAAGCTTAATAACCTATAAGACAACAGAGATAGACAATAAAAAAATTCAGGAAAACAGTATATGAACAAAATGAGATGTTAGTAGAGAAATAAAGAAAATAAAAAGAACCAAACCAAAATTCTTGAGCTGAATATAATGACTAAAATTAAAAACCAGTAGAGATCTTCAACAGCAGATTTAATCATGCAGAAGATAGAATCAGTTCAGGGATGGGTGTTTGGTATGACATAGTTAAGTTGCCACTTGGGATGCCCACATCCCATGTTGGAGTGCTTGAGTTTGAGTCCCATCTTTGCTTGCAATTCAGCTTCTGGCTAATGTGCACAGTGGGAAGCAGTAGGTGTTGGCTCAAGTACTTGGGTCCCTGCCACCCACATGGGAGACAGATTGAGTTCCAGGCTCCTAACTTCAGCCTGACCCAGATGGCTACTGTGGACATTTGAGGAGTGAACCAGTAAATGGCAGTTCTCTATCTATCAACCATCTATCTATGTATATATTTATTTTTTCTATCTCTGTCTCTGAAATAGAATAGAAATAAATAAAAATTTTAAAATGATTCAGTCAATTTGAAGACAGGTCATTTGAAATTATCCAGTTAGAGGAACAGAATGAAAAAAATGAGAAAAGGGAAGAAAGCATATTCAACTTATGATATATTATCAATATATATTTATATATATTTATATATACTAACATATATAAATATGTATTTATATAAGGAGCCTTAAAAGGAGAAGAAAGAGACAAAGGAAACTTATTTAAGAAATAAGGACTGAGAACTTCTCAAATCTAGGAAGATCTTATGGGTAAAGTAGGACATGTCTCTCCAAAATTCATACAGATATTTAAACTCTGATGTCTCAATGTTAATGGGTGATGAATTAAGGGTAGAGACTTGATCTAGTGGTGGTAGCTAGGAGGTAAGTCTGGTAGGAGGTGTTTTGGTCATTGGGGGTGCTCTTGGAGGGTGGTTCTCACAAGAGAGTTGGTTATTTGAGTTTGACCTGGGTTCTCTCTACTTCCTGTTCATCGTATGAGCATCGTCCACAGCTGCCGTTGCCAGAGTCCATCAAATGGCAACCATGGAACCACCTAATCCTTACCTTAACTTCAAACTGTAAGCTGAAATAAGCATTTTATTTCCCTATAAGCTCCTCTCAGGTATTTTAGTTAAAGTAATGAAAAGCAGATTAGTATAGAAAATTGGTACTGAGAAGCGAGGCAATTACTATTAAAACTTTATCTGAAGGTGTAGAGGAGCCTTTGGAATTGGTTTGCTAAGAAGGCTTGAAGAAGGCTGGAGAAAGCCTAGAATGTTTTAATCTGAGCATTATGAGCAATTCTCATGAGGGCTCAGAAGACCAGAATATTTGCAGAAATGTGGATAGTAAAAGCTGCGCTGGTGAGGTTATAGTTTTAAACGAGGACCTTACTGGGAACTGAACTAAAAGACACCCTTGCTGTAGCAAGGTACCTGGCTGCACTGTGCCCCTGTCCAAAGATTTTGTGGGAGGCTGAACTTAAAGATGGTGAACTAAATTGTTTGGTGGAGGAGATTTCAAGGCATCCAAGTGTTTAGGCTGCAGCATGGATGGTTCTGTGTGTGTGTGTGTGTTTAAGGATTTATTTATTTATTTGAGAGGCAGATTTATAGACAGTGAGAGGGAGAGACAGAGAGAAAAGTCTTCCATCTGCTGGTTTACTCCCCAAATGGCTGCAATGGCCAGAGCTGTGCCAATCCTAAGCCAGGAGCCAGGAGCTTCTTGCGGGTCTCCCACGTGGGTTCAGGGGCCCAAGCACCTGGGCCACCTCCTACTGCTTTCCTAGGCCATAGCAGAGAGTTGGATTGGAAGAGGAGAGCCAGAACTAGAACCAGAGCCCATATTGGATGCCAGTGCCGCAGGCGGAGACTTAACCCACTGCACTGCCCCAGCATGGGGTTAATGGTCACTCTTAGTGTTAGGTATCAAGGTAGACAGCCTATGTGTGTAAGAGGAGCCAAAGAAAATGGGAATGTTCTGAAGAAAATCGGAATTTTTGTGTG